TGAGTTTCATTTAACTTTTTACAATTTATTTGTTTCTTTTTAGTCTGCAGCATTTGCATTTTGAAAATGTTTCATTTTTAAATTCAAACTCTTCTAAATTGTGAAACGTAATATTTTGACTCCAAAAAGGAAATATTTTCCCTGTGATGGAGCTCATTAATATTACAAAAGTGCCCAAAATAAAAGTGTTTATAACACTGTGAAGCAAATAAATATCTGCCACTTTGTTTTTAAAAATACATGTTTATTGTGCGGGTGTAAATGTGCTTTGGTCAATTTCTATTATTATGTAAATGATATGCAAATTAGGCCTCCACAGTGGTTTCAATTCCTGGGGAGAACACTGCTAACCTCCATTACATTACACAATGCCAATTTCAAGTGTAATTGAGATTTTTACAGATAAATGTCCAACGTTCTGGCAGTTACTAGTCTGTCTTTGGTTTATTTGTATCCTTCAAAACACATCTATACATGAAACACATTCAGGACTCAAAATTATCAATAAGAACTTACCCAGTCAGTTTATTCTTCATTAGTTTAACTGCAGTCGGTTGTTCACCAGAATGTGAAAACGCACCCCTAATAAAATTTTCATCCCAAAACGGCTCAACCTACGAATAAAACAAATTTAATTGTAGACAAGTTTTTTTTTCGTAGTTTACAATGAGAAGTGTTACATAGTTTTGATAAAAATGGTTTGCTCATTGTAATACAAAATCAGCTTAACATCGACATAACATTTATAGTAATGACTGGCAACAAATTAGTTTATTGACCCCCAGATGACACCCACCCACCCACACCAAATGAAATTGCCCTTGAACGGGGCAAAGCAATTTCTCTACATGTCAACTTGCATTTCCAAATAAATTAGCAAATAAACTATCACAATACATCAAAAGCAATCAAAATCACGAGCGAATGTTTTGCCTTTCAAAAAAAGGCGATACAAGGAAGAGACCAAATTTATAAAGTAGGTCACCTAATCCAAAATGGCCGACAATGGCGTGGTCTGGGAACGGACTGAAAGCAGACAAGCTCCGTTGAAATTTATACATTTAGCTGTACACGTTCGGTACATCAGCATTATACTTGAGATTTTTTTTTTTACAAATCAACACTGCGTGGAAAAAATCCCAACGCCACGCGAATGGCGAATCGATTGCGCATTTTCAGGGGACACAACAAGTCGGTTTCAATTTACTAAAGTGTGTGAATATATGCTAATCCAGCATGGCGACCGGTTTTTAAGTTCACGGAAAAGCATATTTACATCAAGAATGTCGCGGGACAAAAACAGAAAGTTGCAAAAAATAGAGCTGCTATTATATTCAGTATAGAATAGTTTCTGCTACAGTTATATTTCAAGTAATTACCTCACCAAAACGCGCCTTGACACGCCAAAGAAAGATCGTAAAGCCACGCTTCCCTTTGTCCAAGCGTGGTCGAAAGTAGCGTCACTTTTGATCGCACAACAAATGCCAAAAAAACACTAAACCGTATAATGAAAAGAGGTTATGAAGTACACATAGGTTCTATACTTACATCTCCCATCCACAAAGTAGTGTTCATGGTGAAAACTGTGCTTGAAAATACGATAAAAAGAAATATATGTAGAGGAAGTTAAAACAGGTCCTTTTCACTGCGCCACACGATGAACAACTGATGTTGATGACGTCACCCCTCGATACTTCACCTCGGTATCCAGTTAAACTGGCACATTTTTTTGCAACGAGAATAAAAAATATCAATATAATTAGTTTATAATATAACTGACAATCATTAAAGGCATGCTTTTGCTTGAAATAGTTTAATTTTTCCCACAGCACCTAAACTGATGACGTCACGATTTACGTCCAAAACAAAATGGTGGAAAACGTGGTACTGGACGTTGTTGCTGGGTGTTATGAGCAAATTTTGTTTGGCTTCGAACTGCGAGAAAAAGATGAGGTAATTAGAGATTAGTTTCGGATCTGTGTTGTTGGAGAATGACAGTACGATCACTTGAATTATAAACTGTGGATTCGAGCCTTCACCTCCCACCAGATTGCAACAATTCTTATACTAGTATGTTTTGAACACATGGCTATTTAATAACTTAAACTTGAAATGAGACTGTGGCTGTATGATAGGAATTAAAAAAGTGAGAAAATAGTGAACTTAAAATTGACTTCACTTTTAAAAATTGGATAAATCAAATTCCAAATTTAAAGTTGCTCTCTGAGATTATTCCAAAAGTTTCATTATTATATAAAATTATTATTATTATTTATTTATATTATTGTCTTGGGACTAATAATATTTGAAATAATTTGATCCCAAGAAAGACGGGTGATGGTAGTATGATCGAAATACAAGAGATGTCATTTACAATTTTGATATTAAATCTTTCAGCAGTAAAGCATCAAATATGCAGGGGGGGGGGGGGTATAGTGGCTGTACACATAACAGTCAGGAAGAAGGTGATGTTGGCATGCCTATGGTATCGCTAGGGATCGATAGTCTTCGTCACAGTCACTTGGGGGCTGAAAATCAATAAATACTCAATTTTTATACGCATATAAATAAACAAGTTGTAAAACATGGCACCTAGTAAATCGACACCTTGTCGGTTTCAAATTTTGATTTCTTACCTAAAAATGCGAAACAAAAAGTTTAGAGGAAGTCGGGTGTTATGTTAATAACCATTCTCCATAATCGCTGACTTGGTTTTATTCAAAACTGCGTTTTATGATGATATTCGACGATTTCATGAATGAAAATGACCAGCAGCCAGAATCAAGGGGGATTCGCACAGAGTTCTATGTAAATCAAGTCTGCATACTCATTTTAAGCCAATCAGGCCTGTCGTAACAGTGAGTATTTCCTTGATTTACCCAGAACTCTGTTCCCAATCAAGATATAATTATCAAGAAATATCATGTTCGACAGATAGTCATAACTACATAACACTAAATTGATCGGTGGTGGTGTGTGTGTGTGTGTGGGGGGGGGGGGTAGATGAACGCTGTTGGCTAGACCAGAGTTCAAATCTTATCTTGTGTTGAACATTAAAAATGTTTGACTCTTACCCTGGGCGAGTGTGCCACAGACACAATGGGAAGGTCATTTCCCACTGGCAAAGATTCATAATGGATACGACTTTGAGTGAACATTAGTTAAGGATTGCTGGTTCTAATGTTTGACCAAGCCTGGTTGACACCAGGATAATGCAATAGTTTGGTCACACAGCTCTGTCACCTGAAATGGTCAACCAGAAAAAACATAAATCAAGCTTCAAAAATTAATAAAAAACATTGATGTAGAGAGCATTGTAGACATGCAATATTTTATGATTGACATATACGCCGTACTACCTCTAGTAATTCCGCCCGGATTTTATAACAATATTTTATTATTAAATGAAAAACAAATATTTTTCTGAGAAAATAATTACCATATAAAAACATGGAAAATTATATTAAACAACAGAAAATCATATTTGTTCACTACGTTTATATGATGATTTTCATTGATTTGTTGGAAGCTTTCTTTTTAGGTATTTAAAACGATGCACCAATAGCCACTGTGGCCAAAATTATTTCATCCTTGGTGAAAATTTTACTATTAAGGACAATGTAGCTAGTTTCTCTATGATATTAAGATGATTTTGTCATTACTTGCAGAGCTTTGTACTGGAATCACGTTTTACAGAACACAGTCACACTGGGTGTATCAAGTGTGTATCAATGAATGATACATACCTAGCGTCTGGCAGCTCTGATGAGACGATTCATCTATATAATATTAAAATGAAATCAGAAATTGGTACATTGATGCAGCATGAAGGTAATAATCATACATGTATATACATGCCACATTTGGAACAGGATATCTCATGTTTGTTTTTTTCAAAACACCTGTCTTCACATTTTGTTAAGGTACTTTAAGGTATTTTTGTAAATATAAATAACTTTATTTTAGCTGCAATTAAAGTTAGATGAAAAGATTTTTGAGTGTTTTGTATGCAGTTTTTTTTTTTCACTAATTTTTGATGAGTAGAATGTAAAATATAGGGAAAAAAGTATATTTGCTGGATTTTATTTTTACTGAATCATCCCTTCAGCAAAAATATTTAAAATAAATTCCAAGCAAAAATAAAGTATTATACAGTAGCCAGCACTTGCACCATTCCATTTTCCACCGCAGATATTTCTACATGTAGTTACCTCCGTCTTCTATGTGGGTTTGAAAAGTTGAAAGTGTGAAATAAAATAGACCTTTTAATCACCAGAGAAGAGTGACTTTGGTCATCAAACCCAAATATACCTTGAGGTCCAAGTATTACTCTTTCACTAATTTGACTGTATATTTTATAATTTTATATAGTTGTAGTTGTTTTGTGTTCATGGACTTGTATTTTACCAATGTAATTGATAGATTTTGTGTAGGGAAGATACAGTAGCTTTAACTAAGTATTATAACATTACAAACAAATTGTAACCAACCCTCACCATGGCATGACATCATTATAGTCTCATTCATTTCATTCAGGGTCAATCACATGTCTTGGTTTCCATGGTAACTCACATTTAATAAGTGGAAGTGAAGACGGCTGTGTATGTGTGTGGAAGTCAGGACCCTGGGATTGTTTAAAGACACTTAAAGGACACATGTGAGTATTACTATCATTTTTAGCCTTCGCAGACGAAGTCTGCCGAAGGCTTATAGATTGGGTTCTGTCCGTCCGTCCGTCCGTTCGTCTGTCTTTTACCTCTTATAACTTTGATATGCTCTGTCCAAATTTTTTCCAAGTTGGTGCAAATGTGATTCTCAATGCCATACATATGCACGCCAAGTATTTTTTTTATTCGCCAAAGTTTCATTGTGTTTTTCTGTGATTTTCAACATTTTACTCGTACAAATGCTGAAATTTGCCGGAAAAATTCGAGTTTTAACGACATTTCGCAAGAGAACTAGCATACCGTATTGCGCATACGCCAGTCTAACCGCTGAGGAAATCATCATTGATTTCGTCTGAGGATATTTTATTCCAGACTGTATCTTTCTTCACACAAGGCTTATATAGATTAAATTCTACCTCAAAGGTAAGAAACTGTGCTTATGGTATTTATTATGAACTTTATTTATCCTTTTTTTGTCCTGACTTTAGTGAGAAACTAGCGATCGCACAGTGTCACACTTTGCCAGAAAAACAGTCCTGCTATTAGTTCAAGAACTGGTTATGAAATGTGTAAATCGAAAGTTTATCTCGTCATTTAGGAGGCTTGGGAATAACGTTTGGCATATGAAATACTGGAATAATAAAAACGTAAAATTTTAGAACACGCTGATCGTGATTCTGTTATGTACGATTGCTATTTCCGGTGTTCATTGGCAACTGCTAGCAGATTGAAACTTGGTTTCGTGACGACATATTACACTAGAATTATCGAGAAAACACAAGTCAAATTTGGCCAACCGTGACTGCTTGAAAGCAATTATGAAATTGAAAAGTACTGTAATTCAATATCAATTAATATATCATCGCTTTTAAATTACCTTTGAAGTAAATATGATACCTGAGTGTGTTACTGCACTTGTCAACCTCCATGCTCCATGCGGTCTCCATGCGGTAAATCGAACCTCTGTCAACATAGACACATTTTCTCAATCAGCTATTTATTTCGGTACTGAAGTCAGGGTCGCAATTTCAATGTTTAGCTACCATAATTTATCTCCATTATGAGCAGGAAAATAAATTACGGACCTCGATTGAGATGGATTTAACGTTGGCCATGTTTTTAAGGGATATGTGAAATAATATTAGGGAGGGGTCAAATTCACGTAATCCTCAATTTTAATGATGTTGACTTAATAGTCATAATTTTTTTTTTCAAAACTCCGGATATTATTTTATATATTATTTTAATACAACTACAATATGTTAATTAGTATGCAAATTGATATGCAAATTAGCAGCCAATCTGAGACGATGCAATCCAGTTCAATGGAAATTTGACATACACTTAGGTTACATGATCACTACCTCTGCTGATTAGTTTTGTATGCACTTCTATCTGTTTTTATATTGAATGTATTTTTTTGTATTTTTCTCAATAGTTTTTTTTTTATTTCTTTTGATAGCTTGGCATCCATTTGGTTCAGCTCAAGTGAAATTTTTGGCACAAGTACTCTGGCTTTTTGCTCATTCTTAATATTTTATTTTTGCAGAATCCCGTGAATATTAATTTGACAACTTTGTAGAGTGAAAACAGACTGTTGAATTAGTTCATCCTAGACTTTGGTAGAACATTTTTAAAATAGTACAGTATGAACTGCAATTTCTTTCTGGCTGGTATAAATTTATTAAGTAATATTTTTTGTACTAAAAAGACTCAAATATCTTTTTTAATTAAATCTAACAGCCAGTGGGAGCACATATGCTACAACCTCTGCTTACTTTGAACTAAATGTTCTTTTCTTTTTTTTCAGGTGCAGAGCCAGATTTTTTTCTCAGAAAGCAAAAGCACTGGAACTACATGTATTACAAAAACATACCGGTACTATTCAATTG